AGTGCTCCATGGCTTTGATTGTGCCATTCTGAGTGGCTTGCAGTGAAGGAGGGTTGCAAGTCGGTACGTTTGATGCTTGGTTGAGTTAAATGAGCATGATTGCAGCTTAAGTTCGCAAATGCCAGCTCGGAACTCATTTGCTCAGGCGACCTCCCAACAAGAGGCCACTTGCTTTCCACAAGTAGCAGGCTCTCAGGCAGGGAGCAGCGGTGTGGCAGGCTTAAGGGGAAAGGTGCTTAGTAAGTGCTTAATCACCATAGGTACAGGTCTCCTAAGTGGGGTACAACCAGGCTTACGAAACACTTACCAAGTACCCTGCCCCTTTAAGTGCGTGTCTTGTGCCATCCAAGAGCAGAGGTCGGTGAGAGGACGACCTTGCCATCTCAGGCGAGCTCGGAGATGGGCAGAGCCAGTAGGCGTCACGCATACAGTGCAGTCCTAGTTACCGATGGGACGGAGGATGTGAGTACATGTCTGCCTGTATGTGTTTGCATTTGGCGGGCAGCTTATGAAGCACCTGCACTGGTTGCTTAGCTGCAGGCATCTCACCAAGACTCGTATCTACTGATCCTGCTGCCTCTCCTTTTTCCCCTTGTCTCCTCTCAATCTTTCTCCCCAATGATTCCCCTTACCTGTTCCCTCTCTTGGCGCTCTACTCTCTGCTTGTCACCCCATCTCTTCCCGCTGCGCCTTGCGCTTGTCTCGTCGCCCCCTTTTCCCCGCTCTTCTCCTTTTTCTTGTCCTTGCTCTTGCTTTGCTGCCCTCCCCACCCTTGTCTCCACATATCTACCGGGCCTTGGTTCTCCACCCTTCTCATTTTGCTGGTGCGATAGATAGGTTGGGAATGTGGGAATGAACGCAGAAAACCCCCTTAAAGGAAGGCAAGTCTTTCCTTTTCCCAACCACTCTCTGACTTGTTCGCTGAAAACCCCCATCTCATGTTGATACCTCAGGCGCCTGAGGTGACCAAGCTCTCACCCCAGGCGGGAGAGAGTGCCTCGCATTGGGGATGTTGGTGAAAGGGGCGATCGATTCGGTACATCAGGTAAGGGGTGAAAGGCATGGTTATATAACCCGTTGTGCACAGAAGCCATGGTTAAAAGTCTCCTATATAAATATTGTTATATCCAGGCTTGCAGTCACCACTTGCCTGACATACCGAATCGATCGCCCCTTTAAGTCCTCAGGGCAAGCCGTCCCGATGGCGGAGCCAGGAGGTCACAAGCTTCCCGGCCGGAAACCGCAAGGCAGGGCATGGTAAGGCTCGCTCGGCCATGCAGAAAAAACACCTGCCTCTGAAAAAAAGTGGGGGAAAGGGCGTATTGTAATCTTTTGTGGGGCTGGGCAGTTGGGCATGATCAACTGTTTGTTTGAAAGCTGGGAGTTTCTGCACTTTATGGATGTGTCTTTTTTCAGGGGTATATATCCATGTTTTTGGTGGTTTAGAAAGAAAACCAACAGGATAGCCACCTTGTTGGGTCCCGAAAAAAAGACACAGCTCTCAAAACAAACGACACACCTAATGGGTTTTGATTGGTGCCATGCAGCAATGGCAGCCCGCCATTGAGCTTCCTTGCAGTATCCAGCCAGGCAAGCAGGAATCAGGAGCCGTGCTGCCACCTGATTGTTGTGATGTTTTGGTGTTTCCTGTGCCGTCAAAACCAGCGCCGCCTACGGCTGCTTTGTGGTTTCTTCGCAGGAGGTGGAAGTTACCATGGCCGAGCCACAGCCTAGACCCCGGCGTGCTCCAGAGAGGCCAGGAACAGCCCGAAAAATGACGCACATGGCCAGCAAGGCAAGCACGCAGAATGACCAGACAGGTTGTTCAAGGGATGTTGGGCTCATGTCAAATATGTGTATTTTCATATACACATACACTTGAAACTAACATATATATATATATACATATATATATATATATTTATTTATTTCTATTTATGTAGAGAGAGAGAGAGAGTACAACCCTATGCCCACTTAAGGTCACGGGGCCTCACACACTTCTGGACTGGTAGGGAGAAAGACCCCATCAATCCAAATGATGCACACCACCTTTCGAGAGGCCGTCGCCTTCCGCATCTTCAGGCACGCCTTCAGTTGGGGCCTAGCGGTGATCCGGTAATCGGACCTTTCAGACTGGATTTGAGGGGGGCTGTTGCTTTCACAGTTCTGAAACCCTTGGGCCTTCCACTCCCCACCAGCTTGTCAACTGGGCTGCCCACCATTCAGACAATTCAGGGAAGAATGGGCGAAGGAAAGCACGCGAAGCAATCAGAGTGTTTTTGAGCTGCCGATTTGGGGGCAGAAGCACGGTACGATAGTGGGGATGAGCAGGCTTGCCACATGCAGCTTTTTTCAAGGGGTGTTTCAGCGGAGGCTCTGAATCATGGGGCGACGCTCATGCGATTCACACCGCGGATGGTCTTGAAGGCAGGGTAGATGTTGCGGCAAAATGCGCGTAGATAGTTTTCGCAGCTGATCAAATTTGTGTGTCCGCTTGAATTCGCGCAGATGTGGGGAGAGCTTTTGCCGGCGCCCCGGATGGCAATGCATTGGAGTGTGAGCTGCCGAGCAGGGTGCTGGCAGGATATTTGAGCAGAGCTAGCCTGGTTAGAAAGCCTGAGCTGTCCACTGCATGAGAGACGTGAAGCTTATGAAACGGTCGGGGGAGTTGCAAAGGTCATAGAGGTGGGACTGTTTTTTTCGAGATGACGGTCGCCCGTTTGTCACGGCAATGAGCTGACTGACAGGCGAACAGCAAGACCTTGCAAGTGTGCAGCTGCCCTGTTGGATTGTTCAAAAGTCAATCCGCAATCCTTGTGCCAGATGGTGGCATTCCTTGTTGTAGTGGTGTCCCACTATGGATTGCGGATTGGTATTTTGAACAACCCTCTGTCTTCAACTGGCTGGGTGAGCAGACGAGGCCCTCCATGCTTCCAGCGCCAGCTCTCACTGCTTGCAAAGGGTGACTGACATGGCACGTGCCGTTGAACGTCGCTGGCACTCGGCTCACTGCAGAAGACGCCTTGTCAGTAAAGTATACATTCCAACCAAAGGATGCCAAAGGCTTTGATCCCTTTGGCCTTGGGTCAACATCAAGCTAGCCTTGGCCAAGCCTATTGAACCACATGGCGAGTTGAAGCCATGCCGTCGGCCTTGCGGCAACTCCTCGAGGCAACGGCCGGGGGGTTCACTCATTCGGTGGCCAGTGCCAGGGAAAGCATGCCTTACCAAGGCAATCAGACACAGGTCAGACTCACCACAGTTTCATCCACCCATATTCACGCCGCAACATGCAAGAACCACAGGGAGGGAGACATATACTGCTCAGTGCCTGCGCTGTTATGTCTGTTATGCCAAACCTGGGTTCGATTGATCATGCACTGGTGGCATTATTGCGTAATTGTGTCCTGTCACTCTGCGGAATTGGCACCTTTTAAGTGGTAAGGCAATGCAAGAAGCAGAGCTGGAAGAAAGAACAAACCTTCCTTCAATCAGTTGTGCAACAAGGGAGGGCCAGAATAATCGTTCCTTCAATGTGCCTCAGCCGATGTGTAGGTGGAAATGCTCAAAGAAAAGTCAAGTAGGGAGTGGTTGCGGTATTGCTGCTTGAGCAGGCCATGCGATTTGATGTTGGGACATGCCATTCAATCACTGGAGATGTTGGTGCCTTCCAGCGCAGGGCGCAGCCGGCGCAGGCCACACATTCCGAGGCCGACTTGGGCCCTGGGCCGTCCGTCCGCCACGTGGCGCGGGGTGCAAAACCCCACCGGGCTGACAGGCCCTTTGGTCCCTCGAGCGGCGCTGTGCCAGCCAGAGGCGCGCGCCAATGGCCAGCTGCGAATGTAGGCACCTGCTCCGTGCCTCAGGTGCCTTCCAGGGCCAAGGCCTGAGCCACTGAGCAAGGCAACCGAGATGTGGGAAGCTTTGGCCGAGGCAACATCCTTCGAAGCAAAGGGAGCCAAGGAGCCAGGCAGGGCCTCCTAGGCATATGTTTGCCGGGTTGATCATATCACATCAGGTCCCGCTGAAGAAGAGATCGACCCTTCAAAGTTGGAAAGTGGCTTGCCTGACGACGATGCCGCCCGGCAGAAGTGTTCTCAAATGCCAGCTTATTGGGCTCCGCCTATTGCTGCCTAATTTAATCACATTGGGCTTGATTGGCTGGCTGTTGTTTTTTTCCCCGCGCGCCGACGTTTCCGCCCTGAGGAAAGAACGGAATGTAATTTGGACGCTTTGAAGCTCGGCAACCAGACAGGCCAGTGGCATTCCAACATGTCTGTCACGCATCTGAAGAGATCAACTTGGTGTTTCTTTCTACATGCAGGCATGTGGAGCAAAGAGAAGGATGACATCAAGCCGCCCGGCTGTTTCGCTTTTCCCCGAACAGCTCGCTGATTGTCCCTTCAAAGGCGTCTCGTCAGGTGGGCCTATGACAACACCTTGAAGGGTCAGGAGGTGCAGATTTGGTGGCCTGGCAAGGCCCGAGCCTTGGAGCGCGACTCCCTTTTGGACCTTCATGCAACAGTGGATTGTACCGTTGTGGTGGAACCCACCAGTACATAAACCAACTTTTGGGGAAGTCCGGTGAGCCCTGACGACTTGATTTGAACATGGTGCAGGTTTTATGTTGCTTACTGAAACGAACCAAATACCACCGCGAAGTCAGTTGCATCATCGAACTTGTGGCACGCGCCCAGCTTGTGATGCAAATCCCGCGCCCTGGAACACCAAGACCGACCACGGCGAGTGCAACGATTTGCATGAGGAGGCAGCGTGGGCATGCAGTTCTGAGGCACCAGGCATGCAAGACGCAGGAAACAATGGCGAGACACCCATGAGTCACATTCAAGATCAGAAGCCGGGGGTATGTCAAGTTTAGTACGGGGCAGTCCCACCCGGGTTTTGGGTAGGTCATGGCTTAATTGGCCTATGGCAGGCAAACACCAGCAATCAGTAGGCTACAACTGTATCAGCCATGATTCAGACCTTGACATTTGGGTGTGTCTGTGTTTGAGTTGATACCCATTGTTTGTTGGGTTAGGGGGGGAGTCCCTACACACCCATCAGGCTCAATGGAAAAATCATTAACATGGAAACCTACTTAAAAAGGTAGGGTACTTAGTAAGTGTTTGATAGGCCTGGCTATCCCACAACAGCCATGGTCATAAGTCTCATTTCCGTGGGAAATAACCAGGCTTGCTAACCACTTACTAAGTGCCGGAAGTACATGCTATCTCATAGACAATTCTGTAGCAGGCAGCTCGTCCATTCCACAGCGCAGGACAGAGGCTGCTGGTACCGCGGCAAACTACTCAACGACCCACATTGCACGGATGGCCGTGCGCACCTGAGAAACGTTCACTGCATATTGTGTTACGCGCGGTGGGGCTGCAGAAGTGATGTGCAGAGCGACATGTGACATTTGTTGGTTTTTTGACGTGCATCAGCGACTGGTGTTTGATAAGTTTGATACAAGTGAAGTGGGGAGCGTTTGGTGGCTTACTCTGAGAACGCTGCATCCACTTTGCCTCCCACGACGGCGAACCTTCCAACACCTACACCTGCCCGACTTGGATCCGCGATCCTGAAGGCATTGGCTCCCTGGCCCATCCGAAGCACTGCCATCACCGGCGGTCTTTTTGCAAACGCGATAGTCTTCCGAGACCCCTGAGTCAGGTTCCATGTTAGTGGGCAGGAGGGTCATTTTTTTTATGTAGTGAACTTGCACTTGTTCCTTGCGCATCCCAGGCTGCAAGCTGCCTGTGTTCGATTGGCAAGCTTGCCCCATGCGCTTCAAGATGATGCGCGTGGACACGGGCGTCCCCCAGGACCATGCTTGCCACAGGTCGAGGTAGAGGCTGAAAGGAGATGGACCACCTGGCCGAATTTCTTGGCAGGGCGGACATCAGGCTTTTTTGGCTTGACCCCAGGCTGAGAAAAGTGGCTTGAGGCACAAAATCCCAGTCACTTCACTGAGTCCAGCAGCCTTCTGCTTGCGTCCCTCCCCAAATCGGAGATCCCGGCTGGCAGAGATGGGAGCGATGTGCTGTGTCAGCGCAGGGTTGCTCCCACTTCAACAGACTGCAGGAGTTCAAGCTCGCGCTCACGACTCCATGTTCTTCAGCTGCAAAGAAGCCAGCACCTGCGGTTCCACAGCATCAATTTCCAGAGAGGACCGGTTGGCAACCGGTTGGCACGGGGCAAGAGCATCACCTGGGTCGGAAGGCATATTTCGAAGCCACTGCTTGTGTTCAAGTGGATGAAAAACTTGCAGGGGGTACTCAGTAAGTGGCAAGCGCGGTTATAACCCGCTTAGGAGACTTATACTTATACCCGTGGGTAGGTGGGCCATGGCCACCAAGTACAATGCCCTTTGAAGTAGCGTATGCCCTTTGAAGTCCTTTGACAGATGCGGCGGCGCCAGGGATCCGAAGACTGGCGAGCCCATGGAAAAGCCTGGCGCGGCGGCGGATGAAGCATCTGGAGAAGCCCAGAAGGCTTGATGCTTGCCCCTGATTAACCCCCCCCCCTCCCCCCAAAATCAACCTGGGTTTCCGTCTCCGGTCGCAGTCCAGGAAAGTATTTTTCTCGGTTTGGAAGAAGCAACCCTTACAGCTATAGAAACAATTAGTGGCAATGTTATATGTGTTTGTTTCATTTCGGATTTCGCTGCGTCTGACGGCAGTTCTGGCGGGTGGGGAGGATAGATGTTTGGCGAAAGGACATTGACCTTTCGGAGGTCAGAAAGCTTAAGGATGGCTTCAAGGAACAAAAACTTGAAGAAACAACCGCAAGGCCGCAAGGCCTTTTTTTTGATTTCTGCACTTACCATGGGTTTAAGTCTCCCAAGTGGGCTAAAACCAGGCTTACTAACCGCTTACCTGACGTACCCGATCGCCCCTGTACGCAGGAATGCGCGTATGGTTGTTTCCTGCCTCGTGGCTGTAGCTGATGGCTAGCTCGCACAGGTGAAGCCAAAAGATGACGGCGGAGGAGACTGCCACATCGCCGGTTCGTGGTAGATTCGTCATCCCCACCCCCTTAAATATGGAATTGGGGGACGGGGGGTGACCCCTACAATTCCATTTATGGTTCCATTTCCTTTGTAAGGGAAGACTAGATAACCGGAATTGGGGACCCCCCACTCCCCTCCCCCTTCTGGTTGGGGGAATGATCCGTCCAAGTAAGTGGTGTTCCACGTCCACCCGGCGATGGGTCTGTCCTGTTTCTGTTTGGGGACCCCTGCAAAATGGCGCTGTTCGGTGGTCCTTTGGGTTTCCCTTTGAGGCCAGACAAAAATTTGGCGCCCTCGAAAAAGACGGAGTCCATAAACGTACCCTTCGATATGAGGAACTGTGCAGAGGCGAAAATGACCTCGAGCTTCATTGTCACGCGCTATGGCTGATATGTCTTGGTTTTTGGCTACGATATTGTTTGGAAGGCCTTGCATGCCTTGCAGACTAAGAACAGCAAAGAAGTGAATGTAACCAAGGTAAATCTTGCTGATAGGCTGTTTTTCCTACTTGCTGTGTATCACTTCATCTCCGGCAAGGCTTTCTTTTTTGCTGCATTCTCTTTGACGTAATTTTGTTTTTTACCCTCTCAGCAGCAAAGCCGCGTGCCAGGGAAAAGTGAGGAGAAGGAGCCGGAGATGGCCGAACCACCTTTGGGACACTGCAGCGGCCCAACCAATGACGCAGCCTTTTGGCTGCATGGGCAAAATGGGGTAGCGGCGGACTGCAAAATATAGTTGGGAGGCACAATCTTGCAAATTGCCAGTTGGTTCCAAGTTCGGGTCACTTGGCAATAGAAACAAGAGCCAGCTGCCTTTCTCGTCCAGACATTTGAGAATTTGCTGCAGGAATTGGTTTTGTAGTTTGCCCTGCCAAACGGCGCCAACAGCACGAGGGAGGAATGACGCTGTCAGTGTCATGCTTGCTGCATTGCTGTAGGGCGTTTGGCTTGCGGTTGCCTGCAGGATGTTGAGAAACTTGGTCCTAAGCAGCGGCTGAGGATGAGCCGCGCATGATCTTTGACATGCGGAAGAATACCTGGTACCGCTGCAGCAATATGATGCGCCACCAGGCTGCAGTTTGTTCGCCGGACTGGCTTCCAGATTGCAAGCCTTCGGCTTACTCGCGGTGAGCAGTCTGTGAGTTGAATAGCTTCTTCACATGGGCCACTGGCCGACCCTATGGCGACTCTTTGGGGGCATGTGCCATGATTGCAGGATGGGCACGTATCCTCGTGCTGAGTGACAAACAGGGATGCAGGGAAAGGAGACATCGAAGGAGGTGCATTGCCATTCTCTCTCATGTGCGACGTGCAAGGTTGTGAGCCTTGGGATATCCGCGGCCAGGCTGCACAACAGGTTAGCGTTCGCATACCGACGCAAAATCAAACGGGCCCCAGAATCAATTCGGTGCCAGAAATCTAATTCTTGAAGCCTGCGCGATGCAACGGCCAAGGGAAGATTGATGACTCAGAGCCTCTTGGACAAGTTGCCTGCTTGCCAGCAACACGCAGTTACTGCTAAAACTCCAACTTCTTGCCTGAGTGGTGCATGCGCACGTTGAACTGCTGCGCTTCCCCGCATGGCTAGGGTGTCCTGCCTGAGGATGGCACAGTGTGGAACGAAGAAATGCGGCCCAGAGCAGCAGTGCTTCGTTCATCGCATCTCAGCATTGCAGTCCACGCACCAGTGGCCGGACAGCAGTTGAGTCAAGACACGGAGCCTTTTGGTGGTATGCCTGGTGGGTACTTGGCATGCAACATTTTTGCAGATGAATTGGCAGATGTAATGCTGATAATATACTGATATGCGAGCGGCGAACAGAGAGCATGAACATGCCGTGTGGCCTAAGGTGTGTGAAGGAGACTGCTTTCAGTGCTGGTCAAGCTTTTTTGCAAGCTTCCGAAATGCTGTGTGTTTGCTTGCATCTTTCCAGGATGATGAAATCATGATGCTCGCAGATGGGGATGACGTGGCGAAGCTTCCCGGCCCAAACGTCGGCCTCGCCAGTTCTCCAACACATCTCGGCCTTCCTCCCCAGTGCCGGAACATCTTCGTGTTTAAAGCCCCAGGGGAAACCTGTTTGTTACTGGCAACTCTTTCAATCAGCTCCATCTCGTTTTGAGACACGTGGCTGCACTGAGGCTCGGCATGCCACACTTCCTGGCATTGGCCTCCTTTGAGGCCATGGCTCTTGACCTTTTGGTTTTCCTAGTTGATCCATGTTTCGTCATGGCACGGAAAACACCACCTTTCAGTTCAATTTGTGCTTTGGGCAACTGAGTCCATGGTCCTTTAAACATGGGATGCGGGCCTAGCCTTCAGAGCGATGTATCTAAGTTGCCGAAGCGACGTCGAGAAGGCCCTTTCTTGTGCCTACACCTCAGTTGTGCCAGGGATGTGTGTGTGTGTGCATAGACCAGTCATTCGGCCGTTCTCGTAGCTCCAGTTTTCCGAGGAGCGCCTCAAAGACTCGTTGCCCATGGGACCTCTGACGTGCCAATTCTTTGCCCACTTCGTTTCACTCAGTCAGAGCTAGCGCCGGCAAGGGGCGAGATAGCACCTTCCAGAGGGATTGGCAAGGCTCCTATGGCAGGAAAAGTTGAATCTTGGGCAGGCAAGTGTGTGGTGCCGGTGATTTCAGAGGTGTATGTTTGACGTGCGGAGACTAGACCCGAGAAGCAGTGTGAATTGCATCAGTGGTGCACGTGACGGTCTTTCTGTAATATACGCTGCGAGATCCGTTTGGAGATGGGCTGCGAGCCAGGTGCCACAAGGAACCAATCGCCAGCCCCAAGGACAGCGAGGAGCGACGGGTCAAAAGCCCGTACCTCCAGTGAACATCCCAATCCCTATTAAAATAGACTAAAATGAGTGGTGCACCTACCCCAAAATGGTATCATTAATTTAAACCCACACCCATGTCACATGTTAAGTCAGCCGGGGTTGAGTGTTTCATCTAAGCTCAGGACAGCGAGGATGAAGAGGACTGATGCAAAAGCGAGGGTGAAGCAGCGAGCTCTGGTTTCAATTTGGGCAGAGAAACTGCAACGGCAGCTGGTGATGCCAAGTAGCTTCCGTACGGCTGGAAGCTCCACACATGTACATTGAGTGCAGAATGCATATCTAAATTGACCTGCATACATACATGCAATAGCTGTACATATATAAATATATTTAGATAGATAATGGAACATGGGTTGCCAGCTGCGCAAGGGTTTGTTGCGAGAATGATGCCCACAGACCCAGTGTCAGGCAGCAAAAGGCGCCGGAGTGATTCCCCTTTGTTCCTGCCTTGAGTGTCTGTGTGCACGTGGAGGAGGAACAGGAAGAGGAGGACGATGAGGAAGAGGATGAAGAAGCAGAGGAGGATGAGGAAGATCCAGAAGTGGAGGAGGTTGAGGAGGAAGTGCAGGACACAGAGGAAGACTCAGAGGCTGGAATGCCAGACAGGTCAGTAAAAAATCAGTGCCCTCAAATGTCTTTGTCCCGAAAGCTGGCTCGAGGCTTTCTTGAGGTTTATGCCCGGGGGTCGGGAGTGACAAAAGTGGGAAGCGGGGTGCAACAGGCAGTTTGACTCCTGCCCTGTCTGGGCTGAAATTGGTTTTTCACCTACGGTTGCAGGGTCCTGCGCATGCTTTGCCGTCCGTTTTTTGTGTTTTTTTTTGGCAGACCTTTTCAACTCGTCTGTTTTGTCTGCCTGGACTGGTTTCTGGTTTGCCACGTGCCGTTGCAAAGTACCCGGACGGACGCCATGGTTTTCCGTCTTAGATTTTTCATTTCGGTGCAGTCTCTCGACAATCTCTCCAGCGCAGGAAGCCATTGAAGAGGCCATCTCAATGGACAAAACGTGTGGAGCTTGGTGCAAGACGGGCATGTGGGTTGCAGTTCGGCATGTTTCCGGCTGCTTTGAACATTGGACAACATTCTGAAAGAGCATTGGGAAATCCATGAAATCACAAGGAAATTCGACAACGGGACCGTGCAAAACAAGGATAAATGGCGGGTTAGCGCCTGGTCCCGGCCTGCATGTTAGCTTGCCAACAATTAGGAGGATGCTCTGGGTTTCCAGAAGGTCGATAGGTCGATGGCTCACTTCATGCCGGTACAGCTACCCGGGCCCCGTGGATGGTTTTTTGCACATCCCAGTGAAGGCTTTTTTGAAGAGCGCAATGGTTTGACCAGTGGCGAACCCATATCCTACCAAAGGCGCGTTTGGCTCTATCTTCACTAAACGAGGCCTCGAAGCGAGACGCCGGATCCCCTCAACAAAGAGCGAATCCGTATGATTCAGTTGGCCCGACAAGACTGCCCGGAATTTGGTTCTTGCCGTCTGACACATGCCTTCTGCTAGCGTACGGCGAAGTCAGCATGATGTCAGATTTGTCATTGCTCACTGAAGTCACCTATAGACATCCTGATGCAAAAGCAGGTTGTTGTCAGGGGAGGTGTGCTCTAAAGCCTGGCGTCCTTCCCGCGAGGAAGCAGCCTTCAATGGATTCAGTCCAGGCGGGCGACAGCTGAGTTGTGAAGATGGCTTGTGCACTCAGAGTGCTCCTTGTATGCGTGCTTGGTAGGAGGAGCCATGCCGCAGCCAACCAACCTTCAGTGTTGCCCCACCATTGCAGGAGACTGCAGGGTTCGGCGGCGCGCGCATGTGTGAAAGTAGTCAGAAGGTCCAACCCCAAGTCAGCAGTCAAAGGGCTTTCATTCAACCTGGGAGCTGTAAGGCAGCCCGGGGGGAGCGCACTCATGACTTTCCCTGGCCACTAAAGGGAAGTTGTGATTGTACGAGTGCTAGTTACATAGGGCTGCTTCACCCTGCGAGGATGAGGAAGACATCAGTCCTGCGCATGGAAGAACAACTCACAGCGCCCTGCTCTGATTTGATGAGAGTTTACAGGCATACGCAGAACCGCATGGCCCCAGTTTGCCCATGAGCCTGTGTGTGTGTGTTGTATGTTGTGGCAGGGCAGGGCAGCACAGCACAGCGTCATGGCATCTCAGTGTCCGTCGCGGTCCCTGCCTGACCTTTTCGCCAGGCTCGTCACGAGTAACGTTTGGAAGCTGGTCCTTGGCAGGAGCCAAGGGTCACCTTTGTTGCGTTGGCGGGCAGGCATTTATTGGCAGCATTTTGCAGGTGACAGGTCATTGTTGCGAAGGAACTTGTGCAAAGCTAACAGTAAGAAGATTGCGTGGGCACTGGTAGTGGCACGCATTGAGCAGCTTCACGGTTGGAGACAATTTGACTAACCACGAGGGTTATTCCGTCCTTCATTTCCCAATTGTTTCCCATTATTTTGCATATCTGGGTGATGCGTTGTGCTGTGAGACAAGAGTCGGTCAAAGTACATTCAACCATGAGACTGACATGGGCATTTGCAGTGTATCCAGGATGTGCGCGTGGCCAAATGGTGCAACGAGTTTTCTCGACGCGCATTCCCAAGTCTGGTTGCTCACAGACGGACATCACAGAAGGGCGACGACCTTGACCTGCACGACTCGGAAACAGTAACTGTCTCATGCACAGGCAAGGTGGCTGTCCCCACCTGTGGCGAGTTAGTAGGGCCAGTGCTTGTCAAGCTTGGGACAGATGATAGCAACATGTTTATATCAAAGAAAGGGGTCAACAAAGTAGGAAGTGCGCACGGTCTGGCGTATACCGCTGCCTTCGCTGGGCAGTGACTGGTAGCGTGCTCGCTGCCCCCTGCGGCTCACGCACACCGCCTCGCGCACACCACTTTTCAGCTGACCCCTGCAGTACTACTCCAGACTTTGAGCTGCATGAAGCCCTTCAGGAGCTGAGAGTCGCCCCGAGTCCTGGCAGGCGCGATGCTTAAAGCCATTTAGTCGTTGGCCCACGGCTCAGCAACTTGTCAATAGGAGCCAGAGTTCCACTTTCGCTCCTACACGAGGACTTTGACACATGCCCAGTGTGAGATTCAGTGCTCAGTGCCAGGACCACATTCAGATCTTCGCGCAGTGAAGGCCACTGGGCCACCGGGGTCTCCCATGCTCTCTGCCTCCGCATGTGGATTTTCTGTCTTCGAAAGAGCCATCGTTTTCCTGCCCGGTCAGCTACCTGATTGGTGAGTCTTGAAATGCAGATGCCGGACGCTCCACGCCGGACACGGCTTGGACGCGAAGGATCCTGCAATGACTTGACGTCATTCGCTGCCGTTGTTGTTTTCGACTGCATGGCCAGCTGTGCAGAAGCCTTGCGATCATACTAAGGGATTCTCCTCTTTCGAAACTGCCATTCCATGACGTTTTGACAAGCACATGCGAGTATGTTGCTAAAGACGTGATGAAGGCAATCACCAAATCATGATCAAGCAGAGTGATGCTCGTTGTCAATAGGTGAGGCAATGAAGGCAGCACGCTATTCGGGGTTAAGCTCTGCATCAAAGGTCCCACGGTGCACGCGCAGGACCACACTGGCAGCGATGTCTGGCGCCGTCCGCTCAAACTCTGCAAAGCTCAGCCGGCTGGAGACGCCAGAGTTGACTATGGCCTTTGAGCGTGAGTCTCCTGATGCCGACGCCATGGTCGGGACCTCGGATGCCTTGCCTTATTCGAAGAATTTTGTAGGCCCTGTGACTCGAGCTTCGTTAAGGAGGGGGACCCACTGCTCCGGTGTCCAATGCTCGCAAGGGCACGGTTCTACCTTCCTGAACCGCAGAACTTCAACAATGCAACAAGCCAAAAACAGTTCGTGCACACGGGCCCCCAAATTGTGGAATACCTCTTGGTTTCCCTTAACCACAAGACCAGGGTAGCCTCAAAAAAGCAAACTGTGCCCATATCGCAGACAAGAGCAGTGACTAATGCGCGCAACTTCAACAACTTATGGTGCACCAGAGCTTCTTCAGCGGCGCAAAACAAATCGCAAAATGCGAAGCCAGTGCACAGCAACCTTTGCAGCGCAAGGCGGCTGCTACAGCCTATCCATTGACAAGACAGGCTGCCAATGAGGCCCCGGACAGCGTGCCAGGAATTTGTTGCTCTTTCATGCGTCTGCCTATTTTATCGCAAGCTCACCGATTCGGGGGAAAAGCGAGCGAAAGCCATGATAAACGTCCTTTGCCTGGGGATCCTTAATTCAGCTTTTGGAATCATAGTCGTATTTGCGGATGTTTATGTTCAAATTGTGGGGGTTGCGTCGGTTGGTTCCATTTGCATCCATGGGCATGCGAAAGGTTGCCGAGCCTGCCACGGTCTCCGGCTTCCGCCCGTGTCGCCAGCGGCGCTGCGTCACCATGGCCGCGAAGCCTGCAGCGGCAGTGACGCTGTCCAGGCGATCGCAAAGCGCAGGCAGTGCGCCGAGTGCCGCATCCGCGCCATCCGTGCCCCAGCAAATGAGCAACATGCGAGCCGATTCGGGCGGGTTGGAAAGGGATACTCTCCAACCTCAACGGGTGCGGATATCCGCCTTGTTAATTCCTCAGACGGGTTTGGGTAGACCAAATATCAATACCAGGCTGTGACTATGACTGAAGTGTTGCAACTCAACTTGTTGCTGGCTTTTCAAAACAGGAGGTCACTGGCTATCCATGTGGTTGGGACGCGTAAGAACTTCTTATCCCTGAGCTAGCATTGTTGCCCTGCGACTTTCGTTCACATGAGGTGCAGGCCGCAGGCGTACGTGCCATCCAGCCAGAGCGGCCGCAAACAACGGGCACGCCAAGAAAGACTGGATGCTTGGCATGGGGCATGCTGGGCTCTTTGAGCGCTGCGTGGAGAGCGAGTTAATTTACATTTGAGCATGCGCACGTATGTCCTTAGTTTGCGTGTTTGTGTGTCTGTGTGCGTGTGTTAGGTTGCTTGTTGGCTTTGTGAGTGGCTTCGTTAGCTTGGGGGTTGGCGCACGTGTGTGTGTTTTTGTGTGAATAACATGTGGACCACTTGTGCAGTTTTGCAACTAATGCACACACACATTGCCATTTGGCTCAAGATCATGTTTGTTTCACAATCGTTATTGTGATTCATATACTAGCAAAACAACTCGAGCTCGCGCAGGGTTTGCGGCTTCGAGGATATTCGGGCATTGCAGATTTTTCGGAGGACAACATCCACTGTTGTCGGAGATACCAAAGAAACCCCTCGATTTCTTGAGGATACGGCGTCACTCCCAGATGTGAGAACAGCAGGTAAACGAACCCCAGTACGAACTCTCTCACATCATTGACGGGACCCTGCAATGGGGTATCGGTAACAAGGTCCAGCAAGTCAGCCACAGCCATACGGAAGTACTCGCTCTTCTTCCCATACCCGTCGAAGCTTTCTGCTCCTGCACAGAGAATGCAATGCTCTCTGTGACGTCATGTCGAAGGTGAGGCGATCAGAAGGGAGAAGGTGACGTTTCGCCCCCTGAAAGAATTGATTCCAACGAAACAAGTGGCGAGAAGGACGTCGAGATGGAGACGGAACCAGCGGCAATGACACCCTGGAAAGGAATATCCTATCCATCGATGGTTGTCCTGTACGCCACACAAATGATCACAAGAGCCAGGGGGCAAAGACCTTGGTTCGGGTGCTGCAGAAGGAGAAAAGAAGACGGCGTCCACGGACAGCAAGAAGGCATCGCAAGTGGCGGCGGCGAAAAGGAGGAGAAAAGAGACAGGGCCCACGAAGATCGCTCCGAAACCGGAACCCGTGCCCATGAACCAAAGGAGACCGACCCCCATCAAGATGAAGGACTTGGTCAAATCCTCAACCGACGTACACGACAGGACCTGCTTCGGAAACCCTGCCAAAGAAGGCCCTGAGGCCCACAATGATTATTGCGATGTCATCCACTACGAGCTAGAACAGGAGGAGGGCATTACGCCGAATTGGTGTGTACCATAGCGAAGGAACCGGATCCCATCGGCCTAAATGGAGATCAAGTACCAATCCGGGATGATCGGGGCAGGGGGCGGCTACAGTGTGACGATGCTGGATGGGTCAGGTTTTCGAAGCTGCTCGGCTGCCACCGCATCATGGAACATCTCAATGATGATCAATCCAGGACTACTGAGGGAGCGGCGGCGACACGCGTTGAAATGCTACGGGGGGAGGTCCGCAGAAGCTCGGCTTCGAGGTTTTCGATTATCTGTTGGAGGGTAGAATTTGAGGACCGGGAAGGATTTAGTGAGGAACTCAGGCCGAACAAGGCGGAGCTTGACTGGATTTTCGAACCATATTATGGATTGTATGCTCCACTCGCAGCATTGCACGACGTACAATCACACTCCGTTCGTTTACCAGAACGCTGCCAAGTACCTATGGCCGATAGACAAAGGCTTTGCAGATTACGCAAAGGGATGCTACTATGTCATCAACGTCGGCGAGTTGGAGGATGCGACGAGGTACAGCCTCAAGACCATCAACCCTGACGGGCGTGTCGACAATTTCTTCACCATCAACGCACCATGGGGCGCTAGGAATGTTCTGGGGGCCAGGCAATTCCGTGGACAATTCGTGCCGACCAAGTCTTTGATTGCATAGTGGTGTGCCAGATCCGGTAGTTCGCGACCTCGAGGTTGAGATGTTACCATCCTTCGTATGGGAAATTCCGCTGGCGTGTACTGGTTCTCGGACACCCGCGACCATGCAGAGAATGGCGGACGTGGTGACCCTCTATGTGGAATCTCTGGAGTGCACTCAGGCCAATTGAAGGATAACCATGAGCTACAAATGGCCGTTGCGTAATCCATCGGAGAGAGAGAGAGAGAGAGAGAGAGAGAGAGAGAGAGAGACTGAAGAAGGTTGCAAGAGGTAGGCGATGTCCAACCTCAGGAATTACGTCATCCCCAACGACGCCGGAGGAACGGTGGTACGGGCTGCAGGCGAGGACGTGTCCCTCCTGTTTACGGCTACTTTATTTCTCATGGGGTTCTTCACTTCCCAGTTCCGGAGAGCACGCGCCAGAACGTGTCCGCTCAGGAGGCAACTGAAGAAGTTGATGTTGACGAACTCCGGAGGATCGCAAAAGAAGCCGACGAGAAGGCCAAAGATGAAAAGGATGGCGAAGAAATACGCAATCAGCCCAAGCCACACAAGGAGTATAGCAAACCCAGCAGAGCCTTCCAGCACGACGACGGCGAAAGAGGCGAACATGAACCAGAAGCCGGACCGTTTGGAAGCAGTGTCGCAGAGACCAAGCGGAGGGCGAGATGCGTAGACCCGCTCGTTGAGGCCACATCGGGCCACATGGCTGTCATCAGGTTGCACGGAAAGAATATTTCCAACATGCACCGCTACTGGGGGCCAGACAACGAGACGGGCAATAAGGAGGCGGTCGACCAGTGGAAGGAGGACTGGCTCGAGGTCAAGCGCAGCCATGTTCCGAAAGGCCTGCCTGTCGACGAGCACTTTCGACCCGTTGACGGCACGCTTGATCAATGGAGGACCATTTGGAAGGAGACACGCGATGGGTATAACCCGAACGATTTGACGATTGAGGAGTACGTTGAGATGAAGGGCGTCCCCCACCTCATGGGGTTGTTCTGTTTGGAGCTATATCCGATTCTGCTGGAAATGTTCGGAAGGAGGCCGCCATCAAGACGCACAAATCTCCAGAATTGCAAGCACAAGAAACAACGCGATGGTCAATTGTTCGATGTTTTGCACATCGTGATCGGCGCCTGCTTTGGTGTCGAGAAGTACTCATTCTTCCCATCAAGCATGGATGGAGTCAAGGGTGGCAAATCGACCGCGCAAGATCTTCTTTTGATGAACTATCACGGAAGCATTCAGTCCGGTTCTTCGAGGTCAATGGGACAACTACAACACACTGAAGGAACAGGGACTGACGATCCAACCCAATTATGGAGAAAAGAATAAGAAGAAGGGTTGGGTTGGTGAAACCGAACCTCAATCGGAACAACGCCGCTAGAATTCTTGCACTGCTGTATCTGCAGTATTTGAGCGTCTCACGACTCGAGAATTGCAAGTCTGAAAATAATTGGTTGCACTTTAGTGCTTTAGTGGGTCCGGGACGAAGTTTCCTTCCACAACTTCTATGCCTCTGCGCTGATGCTTCAAAATGAAGCACACAACTGGGGGGTGTGAATAACATGTGGACCACACTTGTGCAGTTTTGCAACTAATGCACACACGTTGCCATTTGGCTCAAGATCATGGTTTGTTTCACAATCGTTATTATTGTGATTCATACGAGCAAAACAACTTGAGCTCGCGGAGGGTTTGCGTCGTCGGGGATACCAAAGAAACCCTCTCGGTTTCTCAGTTTGTGTGGTTCCCGTGCATGTGGGTGTGCTTGTATGTGCGTTTGTATGTGTGTGTGAAGCCATTTGATGTAACACTCTGTTTGTGTGTGTGTCTCTGTGTCTCTGTGTGTGTGTGTGTGTGTGTTTGTCTGTGTGTGTGTCTCTGTGTGTGTGTGTGTCTCTGTGTGTGTGTCTCTTTCTGTGTCTCTGTGTGCGTGTGTGTCTCTCTCCCCCTCTCTCCCTCTCTCTCTGTGTCTCTTGCCCAACGAAGCTGCATCACTGGAGGGGGTCCAGGCCCGATCAGCCTTGTGTGCCTGCACCAACTTGAGTGATTCCGAAAGTCTACTTGGCCCTTTCTTTTTGTTGCCGTGCGTGCGTCATGTTGAATTTGGTAACCTTTCCGAGTCTAGAGAGAAGCTACAGTTTTGCCGGATCAGCCGTGTACTCGAAATCTACCAAGCTGAGCCCCACCAACTCGAAGACTAGCACTCTCCCTCGGGAGAGTAAGTGTGTTCACCCCATCCACAGCCAGGGGTGCACCCATTCCGTGGCCCCGAGCCGGCTCTGCCGGAAAATTGTACCTCAGCGGGCTGGTCATTAGCAAAGCGGAAGTACGCCATTTAATCAGGAACGAGGTTTCATTAAAGTCACCAAAGCGGCAGCGCGTCTCATGTTGTCTTTTCGTCTTCTTCGTCATCCTGTTACGCCTCCTGCTCTTCGCCTGCTTAGCGATGGCTTCTCCTTCATCCCGGTTTCTTCTTTCTGCCTTTCGCTTTCCGCTGCTGGCTCTAAACCCGTCTAAAAAGTTCCGCCAGTCGTTTATATTTTTCCTCTTCTTCCTCTGCCTGCTTTCCTTGTAGCTCGCGCTCCTTGTTCCCCTCACGAGGTTTGGCTTGACGTCTTCTTCGTCCTCCGTTGGCTTGTGGTTATCTTGGTCTTGGCCCCTTTGCGGGAGGGCTACTTCCTCTTCCCGGTCTGCTTCCCTCTTTTCTTCGGCGTGTTCGCTCCTTCCTGAAATTCTTCTTCCGCTCGTTCCTGTTCCATTCCCTGGCCCCTGTGCGGGATGACTTCTCCGTCTTCTGGCTGGTCACCTTCGCGGTCTTCTTCGTCTACAAGGTTAGGAGGGCTCTGTTAAACTGACTTCTTGGTTTGCTTGTTTCTTGGTGTGGGCTTTGCCCGCGGAGACCCGGCGTGGGGCCTTTCTGTTTTCCTTTGGTTTCTCTTGCTCTGCTGCGTTTTCGGTTGGAGCCTTTGCCCCTTCAGGCGGGTGCGTGTGTGTGCAGAGCGTCAGACCCACCCTGACGCCTGCAGCTTTTAAGCAGGCGGGCAGGCCTCCAGCGACGAACCTTGCCCAACGAAGCTGCATAGGCCTGATGAGCGTTGTGCACCTGCACCAATTTGAGTGATACCGAAAGTCTACTTGGCCCTCTCTTTGTGTCGCTGCGTGTGCTTCATGCTGAATCTGGCAGCGTGTTCGAGTCTAGAGAGAAGGTATGATTTTGCCGGCTCAGCCGTGTAAAATCTACCAAGCCGAGCCCGATCCAACTCGAAGACTAGCGCTCTCCCTCGGGAGTCTAAGTGTGTCTGCGGTGTTGTGTTGTGTGTGTGTGTTGTGTGTTGTGTGTTGTGTGTTGTGTGTTGTGTGTTGGTGTGGGTGCGTGCGTGCGTGCGTGCGTGCGTGCGTGCGCGCGCGCGTGTGGGTGGGTGGGTGGGTGGGTGGGTGGGTGGGTGGGTGGGTGGGTGGGTGGGTGGGTGGGTGGGTGGGTGGGTGGGTG